GCTTTAAACACTTTCCTAAACTCTCCATTCCTAAATTATTCACCAGATTAGCCTTATTCTTTTCCAGCGATGGACAGTTAGGTCAGATATGCCCGTCTTTTCCTTGTTGGCAACACTTTATTTTTCGCTGTTTCCCAAACCTCGCTTCATTGAAAACGGGCTCTTTTTTTCTCTTCACTTTTCTATGCTCCTCTGATTTAATTCTTTGATGACCACTACTCTTCTGATTTTAACTACCATTGGAATTTACATACAGCTCTCTAACTTTCTTAAATGGTTTCTTGTACCCCACTCTCAGTTCTAACCTCCTCATATCTCTTCTCAAAGCCTCATACCTGTCGCATTTCTCTGCTAAAATAGAAGCTGTTTTAAATTCTTTCCAATTGTCTAAGTAGTGTTCTCTGATTTCTATAGGGACTTGTCACTTAATTTGCTTGGTGAGCATAAGTTCCTTAAGACTTTCAAAATCCATTGAATCCAACCAATTCTCTAAATACACTCTCAGTTCATACACTAAATCCACCCATAATATCCTGTTTTTCCAAGAATGTTCTTCAAATTTTGTTTTTAGAGCCGAAGAACTGAGCTTGAATCTATGCATGAATAATTTCTTAACATGCTGATAATCATCCCCTTCATCCGCTGGTTCTTTTACTTATTAACTGCACTACACCATGAGGTAATAAAGGAATTAATTGCGAGAGCCAGTTGATCTTATTAATGTTTCTCCTTTTGAGCCTGTTTCTTGAATAGCATAAAGAATAATGAAATATCTATATTACTTGGTTCAAAACGTGATACTAGATCTTTCAAATTAACCCTTTTCTCTCTAGGTTGTTCAACTGTCGAAACCGTGGAAGTTAAGCTATTAGTCTCAACTTCGTTCATCAGTTTTAAGTTCTCTAATTCAAAATCTCGCTCACGTTCCCGTTCTGCTCTCTTGTTCACGTTCCTGTTCTGCTCTCTCTTGTTCATGTTTCCGCTCTACTCTCTCTTTTTCGGCTATTTCGTCTGCTTTTTTCTGCTCAGCCACAGCCCATATTCTTTTGCCGCTTCCTCTTCATAGTCCTCGGCATTAAGAATAGCCTGCCTAACTTCTCTTGCTTTAATCGCCTGAGGCAAATTTGTATCAAACCCCTCCACTAACTCTAATAGCAGAGCTATAGTAAATTTCCTCATAAACTCACCCATTATGGAAAGCTAAAGCAAAATAACTTACCCAATATGCAAAAACAACAACAGGTCAATTTCTCCAAAACTGAGGAATACCCTAATAATTCTGAACACTAATTGCCTTACAACAGCTAATGATCTCTAACTAATTAACCAATGCATACACACAAAACATAAATCACAAATGCTAAACAAGATGCAAATTTTTCCTGCACTATCTCAACTACACACTAGCACCGAACTGATTTAAAAATTAAAATTTTTCTAAAGCATAACGTTACAATACTTCATACAATTTAAACAGTTACTAGAATAGAATAAACAGTTAAATACGAATTAGAACAAAGGTAACCACAAGACTAACTTTCAATAACCACAAGAAAACTTTTATCCCAATAACAGAGCTATATCCAAAATCAACCTAGTCTCGAATAACTGGCATAACTTCTCCAAAATCACAAAAATGGTACTCACTAATTTGAAGATGGCTTCGATGACTCTCCTGGCACTAACTTGGATACATCAACTCTTCTGGGAAATTTCACTATTTTGCGGCACTAGATCACGCTTCCTCTGGAGTTCCCTTCTGACACACTGTCACTTTCTGAAGAGGCTTCACCACGCGAACTGTCCTTGCACGTAAAATTAGATCGTTCTTGTGCAGAGAAGAAAATCTTGACTGCTCACCTAGTCTTTTACAATACTGCCTTTTTTGGAACTTCCATTCGATGATCTGGAACACTCACATGACGAGATGCACGGAAATGAATGCACGATGTTAACTGAAGTTCACAGGCAAAAAGTCCGTTCCTAAATTTACTCTCAGGAACAATCCTAACACCAATTCTAATATTACTGCTGTGGTGTAGTGGCCGAAACCGATACAAGCCCTGGGTTGTGATGCAGGGTTGAAGTGAACTTCAAACTCAAGTTCTAACAATAACATGCATTTTAATAAGATAAAAACATTAATAGTTGCGATTCTTGACAGTATGGAACTTGGATACATTTAGTCCCGTAATTTCAGAATTTTGTTACAGGAAAACTGCTCTATGACATTACACATGAGGAATGATCATTCTTAGCAGGCCAACATGCCCATAGCTCTAAACAGGAAAGTTTTTTTCCTCTTCTCAGGAAACCACCTTATATACCATGTTTACTAGCACTGAACTCTGGGGAGGGGGGGGATTCTTTCCCTCATACATAATGAAGTGTCCATCTCCTGACCCTGGTGAAAAGACTTGTCTCTTTGTCCACTGGAATGACCTTCCAGGCTGCAATTGGAATCATTAACAAAGGCACAGGATTTAGCCAACGATATGAAAACTATTGCACTATGAAATCACTCCTCCTACACAACGAACCTTTATGCCACCTTATCACACTTTCTTAACCAGTATATCCATTTTTATTCCAATTTTAAAGAATTCTCATTTCAGTAAAAATACACCTACCTTCTATTTATCAACCATGTTTTCCAAGTCACCAATTATTTTCAGTCTATCAGAATTTTTTTTTTTATTCAGTCGCTTCTCCACTCATAACGTGTTAATGTTGTGTCTTCAAAAGATAAAATAACAAGCAAACTTTCTTCACTCCACTTATAAACTCTATCTACAAAAATGAATGCCATTTTTGAAATGACTAATTTCATTTCAGGCTCAACAATCAGGCAGATTTGTTCAATGCCAACAGTACTCATGACAATATATAAAGATACTAAGATAAAATTTGAGGCTTTAGTCATAAAATCTTATATTTACAGAACCATGGTAGGGAGATTCTCTCTTAGCACTTGCAAGGGTTATTTGCGATTCAGACATCAATAACAGTGAACATACTTTTTTTCAGATTGGTACAGCTACTTGCATATGCTAATGTGATTTGCAGGACTCTTTCTGCTCTGGGAGAGGGTTGCCTTACTGTTAAGTTCGTGGCGAGTCAAATGGACTTAATTAGAAAAGAGGAGAAAATGAAATATATGCCTTTAAAAAAAATAGAATACTAGGTCCCTATCTTTAAACAGACTCCTATAAATTTAAATCTGAAAAGAGTTTTATCTGTTTAGGATTTATTAGTACTACTGACAAGAGATTATCTTCTGAAATACAGAATCAACAATGTCTGGTAAATAAGACTTTCTGTCGTTAAGCCGGTTTTTCAGATCAAAATTTAATCCATGAAAAACAGTCTTCATTTACACAATGGCTGTCACACCTGTTTAGACATATGCTTCTGAGACTTGGACAAAGACAAAAACATATTAGCAAATTTTGAAAAAAAAAATTGACAGAGTATTCTTCATGACATAAATGAAAATAATACCTAGAGGAGGAAATCAAACTTGGATCTTTACAAGATATACAAACACCCCAATATCTTAAAATATATAAAAATTAACAGTATGAATTGGATGGTTCACATGATCCGAATGAAAAACAAGATTATTAAAAATACTGCATTTTAAATTGACTGGAATCAGAAAGTGAAGAGGACTGCAGCTCAGATAGTTTGATTCTGTGTAGTGGGATTTTCTAGAAATTAATGAAAGGAACTGGAGATCAACAAAAACGAAACAGTCATTAATGGAGAAATCTTCAAAGGAAGGCACTGGCCCATAAAGGGGTGTCTGGTCACTGATTATGATGATGATGTATCATAGGATGCACATAAGTTAAGGAGATAATTTTCAGCACAAGCTTAATCACAGGTGAACTTATCACATCTGATATATCATTCACACATGTGATGAATAGCATGCCTCTTCAAAAGTAGCCACATGCAAGGAGACCTTATAATCAATTTCTTAAATACGTGCAATGAACGGCATGAATATTCAAATTTACCACATATACAGAAATCCATGTGCCTCTGTCATCATTATAACATTCAAGCTTACTGTATTAGAGTGAAAAAGAAAAAAAAAATGCAAGACAAGAGTCACATGGATTCATTTGAACAACCAAATATCTAAAGCTTGCAAAGTGAGTGTTGTTATCCAAATATACAATAGAATGCAGTATGGGATATACAAATGATTTTATAATTTTTAACGGCAAGTATTCAATTGATCAGCATTAAAAGATGAAAATACTTCGCTATACAAATTCTATATATAGAACAGTTTGAAAAACAGTCACATACTTTATTTCTATATAGGTAGAGCTTAATGGGCTGATGAATTCATAGTAATGAAAGGACCACTTTCTAGATTCAAACAAAAGCATAAAACATAGTAATATGCCATCTCTTGAGATAACAAGCACCAAGAAGTTCAGATAAGGCGGGCCTTCCCCTTGATAAATTCACCCCAGATATTGCAGACAGACAAGTACTTACTTTAAGCATTACTTTTAATATTTATTTATTTTTTATTTGATTTAATAATAAGGATGGAAGGATTTTCCAATTGTCTAGTAAAGTACAGAAATTTTAGTATTATATTTATTTAAGGAAAATTAATATTCCAAAAACTGGACTTTTTTAAATAAAGACTACATAAATTCTAGATTTTACACTCACCAATTTTTCCACTGCCAATGCCATAACTTTTTCCATATAATTCTCTACATTATTTTAAGGAATTTTGGAATTAGAAATACAAGTCTAGTATAAGTATTAAAGAAAAACAGTCTACAGAGACATCTTTCAAACACCCTGTACACACTATTTTCTCTATGCAGCCTTTTTTTTCTCATAACCATCGGTCACAGACATAAGTTTCCAGTTAGAAAAATATTTTAAATGATGCAAATATTAATGTTTTAGGCACCTTTAAATTTAAAAAAAAAATCTTAGAACAATGAGAAAACATGAAAGTTTACCTCTTCTCCATTACGTAAATGCGTTAAAAACAAGTTACTCCATAGAAGTATACCAGTAGTATCTCTTTCACAACCACCTCTCCACGAAAATCCCGTAAGAGGTTCATCTGCTCTACCCATCCAGTTAGCATTACCCTGAAAAAACGTAATAAAGGTTCTTTATAAATGAGAAGTCCTTGCCATTGTTAATAAATATGCAGTTTTTTGTTTAAACAAAATATGCATTGATAAGTATAACAATTCTCTAATTACCTAAAATACATTTAAGTAACTTCTTTCTTAATTGCAAGAACACATATCTCATGTTTTCATTACTTACTTGTAGCCCTAAAATTATAAATAATGGTAAAAGCTAGTTTCATCCATAAAATAATTAATATAAAGTCATCTTCATAACTTTGTTTGCAGTAAGATAATCACACAGCTGATGTAATTCCTTAAGGAGATGCTGTCATTATTTTCTTGTTGCTTTATGATCAATAACAGTTCCTAATAAATTAGATAGCCATCAGCTGAAATAAAATCACTGTCTTTCATTTTAAAATATGTGGCATGCTTAAAAAAATTACGTAATTTTCCACTTTATATTAGTAAAAAAAAAAAAAAAAAAAAAAAGGAAGAAATGAGCACTGTATCAGAGCTCAGGGAAATTACATAATTTTCCAGTTTATATTATTGAAAAAAAGGAAGAAATGAGCACTGCATCAGAGCTCAGGGGAATTAGAATTTCATAGTTAACATATGAATCATTAACATCTTATTGGTCTTAAAATTGTCATCTTCTGAAAAATTAAGCTTTGTTTGGCTAACAGGGTTAAGCCTTAACTGAGAAGCTGTTCTTTTTTGCTGTCCTTTGGAGTAATGCACACAAAACTAAACACAGCAAATAAATACCGTATATGCTCGTGTAATGTCCGTGCCCCAAGTTTAGAGATAAAATTTATGTAAAAAAAAAGTGACCCGCACAATGTCCACACCCCAAAAACTTTCTTACTTTAAAATATATTTTTTAACATCGCCTTTTTCTCTTTAGTCAATAACATTAGCCAATGAAAATTTTTAAAGAAAGAATATGCATTTGTTTTGTCCTTGGTTGGCGCCAGGATGGAAAGCAGAGACTTTCCTTGCATTCTAGTGCAGCCCTTATTCAGTCATAACATTGGCACCAGCAGTCCACTCGGCGAACATAATAAATGAAGGCAGTCCGAACAGGTTTTCACCACACTGGCTTCCAGGAAATACTGTTTTGTAATGAACTACTTTCCCCTCCTTCTCCCTTGGGCATTCACATTTTTCAAGCTTTCTCTTTTCATTCATAGTATCATTTGGAATTCGTGGTAGTTAGCATGTAGTGTGCTTAAAATGGGAAAATACAGCAGCTATACAGTGGGTTTTAAACTGAAAGTTGTAGAATTTGTACAGGAAAATGGAAAAAGAGCAGCAGCAATAGTACATAAGGTGAGCGAAAAGTGTGTGTGCAATTGGAGCAAACAGCATGATTAACTGGTGGCAACGGACAAAACAAGACGTGCATTTCGTAATTTGAAACGTAAGTTTCTGAACTTAGAAAAAAAAGTAGCTGCGTATGTTTGTGATACGCTCAAGGATACACAGTAACATGAGAAACGTGCCAAATAAGAGCGTTTGCTGTGGCATGAGAAGAAGACATTCTTACATCGCAATTCAAGGCATGTGAAGGCTGGTTGTGGCCAATGATGAAACAAAATGGATTTTCCTACAGTGTGTCAGAATAGTTTTTTTTTTTTAATAATGTGTGCAAGATATTAAAAGAACCAACTTTAATTTAATTTGTGTAAAAGTAAATATTAAAACTGCAAATGTTGGTTAATTTGCGCCTCTATATTGTGCTCCTGTGCAAACTAATACATGGAGTGTTGATAATGTAAACGGGGTAATTTATATTATATGTGTGGATGGAAGAAATTGAGTTTATAAATTTTAGGTAGCTATTAGACAACTTTAAATTTGATACTTTTATTTACTTATGCAATTTTCTTCCACATAGAACTTAACTTGGCTGTTTGAAATTGAAATTTACACCCAAAATTACTCACGAGAAAAAGCACGAAATTTGAATGGCCTGTGTAATGTCCGCAAATGCATTTTAGTTATTTAGCTTTAGTAAAAAACGTGCGACGTTACGTGAGTGTATACGCTAGCTTTTTTACTCATGTGGGATAGTGTGTGGTTTTATTTGGAACACATACCATACTTGACAGAGAAAATAGATTACGTGGGACATCTGCATTCAGCGCTTTGATAAATTAATCAAATAACCCTTGTATGCTTCACCATAATCAAAGCAATCCAATCCTATTTTTTGACAAATTAAAAATTGAAAAGCAGTTATCTAATATAGTAGAACCTCATTGGGCCAGCAGTCAGTTTAAAGATATCATTGGGAAAATATCATAACATTAGAAAAGTACATCAAAAATCAGTGACGGTTGAAATTTTTTAAATCTACGATTGAGCTTTTGGACTTTTTTTATCAGTGGTAGGTCATTTATGGTTTCGTTTCTGCATTATGGTAAACAATTGGTGGCTTATATGCATTAAAAAGAGCCATCAATAACATCAGACAGCAATTGACATTGAAATCATTTCAAAGGCAATTGCTGTCTGACTGTTATTGATGGCTCTGTTTTTAATGCATATAAGCCACAATGTTTACCATAATGCAGAATACGAAGACCATTAAATGACCTATCACTGATAAAAAAAAGTCCAAAAGCTCAATCGTAGATTTAAAAAATTTCAACCGTCACTGATTTTTGATGTATTTTTCTAATGTTATGATAATATGACATTGAAATCATAGGTATATTTCAAAGGATAAAAAGATGCAAAAACATTGCTGAAGATCATGTTTTGCAATGAATAAATGTAGAAAACAGCTACTCAAGATTCAAAGTACTGAGTGATGAAAAATTATTCACACCATTGATCCAAAGAGAAAGGAAATTTGCAGTGAAGAGAATGAATGCTGAGAATATCAGTGAAATGCAAATAGAATAATTAGCCATGCCTTAAGCAAAGCTTTTGAATATTAGAACAACTTTTATATGTTTCACCCATAGATTTTTTGTTGATTGAAAAGTGGCATGGAGGTGTGGCAGCCAAGAGAGTTACAAGATATTAACAAAACAAAACAAAACAAAAATAAAGACCTTTCTAAAAAATATCTCCTAAAATTGCAAGGAAGAAACTTGACAAAATTTCATAATTTGTTAAAATTTTTTGAGACAATATTTTCTATATCCATATTCAAGCTTCTGATAGCACAGTTTGCTGCATTATATACAATGTGAGCATTGCAATTAACTTAATAATACTTTCATTAGTAAGGATGTTAACATCTAAGGAATTCCAAAATTACAATTTATATTACCTGCACTAACACAAAAATGTCTTGTCCATTCTAACTGCAAATTGTTCATAGTAGAACACTGTAATATTCCATTTGCACTTTTCTCCACATTCACAAAGAAGCCAATTATATTATTCACTATACTGAATTCCATATTAAAATATTAATACATACTGAGAATATTTTTACTCCCCCCAAAATTTGAAGCATCAATTTGAAGGCAAAAATATAAAGGTTGATCACAATTTTTCAATTTTTTTCAAAAGTGCCCTTAATGCCTCCTTTATGAGAAAGCATATTTGTAACAACTGTTCCACATTTTGTTCTATACTTTGCAATCTTGATAAATTTTAAATTTTTATTTCAAACTGAAATCATGTGATTTATAGGAATGAGCATATATAACAGCATGGCATTTTTGAGCTATTTCCAAAGCAAATATTACGTTACAGAATTTGCATTTATAAGAAATTTAACAGTAAATAGAACTGGATGATAATGCACTACTTTTATTTTTTATAAGAATCTGACTGTCTATATTTTCTTACTGCTAAAACACTCATATATCCAATTTACAAAAATCTTCAAAAATAGTACACTTTGTCTCTTGTAGATTAGAGTTTTCACATGACTAATTTTTTATGTACTGGAGCCGTTTAGTCAACTATTTAATCAGCAAGAAACAGAAAAATAAATCAAATGGGTCTTCCATTTTTTTATCTGCACTAAGTAGCATATTTTAAATCTCCATAGTAAACTAAATTTCCTTGAGCCTTGTTTAATGTACTGAATGCATAGAACATATGTATTCCAGTTCCCAGGAAAAGGATAATAGTTGCCATTAATCATTCGTAATCTTTTCCCCAATTTTTTTTATATAAACACAATCACTTGTTATTTTGTTTTCTGTTTGTTACATACCATATAGTCCAGCATATACTGTTCACATATAATTTCAAACTATGTTTTTTAAAAATTGTTAAGTATATTCTCCATATAATGTGCACTGCCTTTTTTTTATAAAGAAACCTGAAATGTTCATCTGCAACATTCTTATCTTTTGAAATCATTCATTGAAGATTTTTCCCAGGCTTTTGAAAAATGGTATACTGAATTGACAAGTGATAAGGGAAACCATATGTGGTGGGGAAAAGGCTTGAGAGAGGAAATAATTCTGAAAACAGGGAGGACTGCATTCAAAGCAGGTGTGCATTATGTTATTCTAGATTTCTGAGAAAAGGGGGCACAATTTTTGGTAACACTGCAATTCCAACCTGAATGAATTCACGGAATTACGAGTCGAATCTCTTCAGTTTTTCCAGTCATGGAGCTGTGATTTTGAAGCGAACACCGAAGGCTTTAGTAAGTTGCATTTGCCTTAGTTGAAATAAAGTTGATCTAGCGCATCTTTCTGTAGTAAAAAAGACTTCTGCAAAATGAAACAAATACAGTACTGGTTTCTAATGCAAAGTCATTCAATTTGCAAAAGATAATGAAAATTGTACTGCAGCAAGACTAGGAAGAAAGCTCCATAACTGAGTGGAACTAAAACAGAATAACAATAATTAAATTGCCAAGGAATAAATGAATAAAGGAGTAATGAAATGATACTGCCTTAGAAGAAAGTGTTGCAAACTGGGTCCTAGAAAATCATCAGAAAGGATAAATTGCAACAAGAAACAGCATACATTTATTTCCCTTAAGCTGGGAGGGGAAGAATGCAAATGAAAGTGAAAACCTTAAAGAAACTTAAAGGAGTGACAG